AAATAAAGGTCATTCAAGAACCAATCTCGAAAGTGAAGGGTCAAAGATGAAAAGTTTAGAAAATCAAAAGTTACTTCAGAAAAGGCGTCAATTCAGTAGGCATAGAGTAATTCATGGTGTATCAGATATTAGAAAGCGTAACCGTCCTCAGACCAACTGCTTCGTGATCTTCACTCAAGTTAATAACCGAAAATGGAGTGGTCTTGCCCACATAGCCCTCGTCCCCTCTGTCCTCTCCCTCCCTCCTCCCATCCCTTTGAAAAGAATTTAATTGGGAGAAAGAAAAGATATGACAGAAAAGAAACAAAACTGAACTGGCGGCCGACTCTGATGACTCAACTACAACGGACTGTCGCCGCGAGGGCGGGCTATCGTGTTTTTGTCATTTGTACACCATATGGATGAAGAGATGTCATTCACGAGCCGCCAAGGGTCATTAGATATCCTCAGCACTTTCGCTAGGACTCCTGACTATAACGGCTGACTGCGAGAAATCTTCATGGAATTGAGCGAGAAGTTACTACATTGCTAGAATAGTGGTAACGAACGCTGGAAATGAAGCCCCGACGTTTGGCGAGCTCCATCGGGTCGGTTTCTCTATCCGAATCCCGAAGAAGATGCCGATCGCTTCATTAAGTTCTTCCCACACTGAAGAGGAGTGATTAACATTGTATCGTGAACAGGTAATTGGTCCTGATCCTCTACCGGTACAAGAGTGGCTTTCCAGTTGCCTTTGAACCTTGTGAAATGTAGAGTGCATGGCGCAAGCTGGGTTTTCCAAATCCCAGGTTACTATGCTCCTTCATGACGACCTTCTCCTAATCTTGTAGTCCTATGCAGAGAAATTGCAGAAGATTTATCAACCTCTTTTCAGCCTATTCATTACTTTTTGTCCAGAGACAGTGAAGGACACTGAAGGGCAGTTGACCTTTAGGATTCGAGGGAGTCAACGGTCTCTCACGTAGAAAAAACTCGCAAATGTGTTTTTTACCCTCGGCATTCACCAGCATTCACGATGGAAAAGTTCAGAGATAGTGAACCAGAGGACATGTCGAGCGGAAAGGCCACCAGGCAGTGATTCATTGAGAATCTCGTTATTCCGTCAGTTAACAAGCATCGAGGACAAAATTATAGTGATATTTTGCAGCATTTAAAGCTTTCGGATGCACTCGATTTTCATTGTGCCCTACCCTTTTTAAGCACCCCTACCTAACCAGGAAAGGGCTTTGGTAAAAAGGTGAAGTTTCCCATGGAACTAGATATAACGGTGGCGCTCGGAATGTAGGAGCATCAAAACCCCACCAACTCACCAACCCTAAAATCAGTCCTGGGTCGGTAACGTTTCACTAAATTCCACTGAGAAGTAAAAAAGGCTGACTTGAACTACCGGGTAATCCACCAAGGTCTTCGTGTAGACGAAACACGCATACAAATATTACTACGACTCTGAATTGAATTCGTATGGTTGGCGCATCCCAGAAAAGGGTTAAACATCAGCGAATCCTCATCGATGCCATGACTCACGGCAAATTTCTTCAATCTACGTAAAATTGTTAATGAAAACTATCATCTGACCGTAGTCCATGAATCTGGGAAGAAGCTCGGTGGCATGCACTCGATAGGCTTGTCGACGAACACCTTGTACGAAATAACACTTGCTGCTCCCACTAGTAGATTACTGGTAACCGAATGCGATAACCAATCAGACCAATCGTCATCATACCAGCCAGTGTAGTGCCGTACCGCCCGTAGTAGTCCCTCGACGGACATTCTGAAATCGAGAGAATACTACAGGCGGTGGTTGTTCCAAATGTATAAAACAGAGCGATCGACGAGGGAGCAGAAACGAAAGAACGATGGTGCTTAGAAATGGAATCTAGCTGGTCGAACTTTAAAAAATAGTAACCGAGCTTATGGTACATTCGAAAACAAAAGCAATCAAGAAGTCATGATAACTGGGTGAAATCATAAAACTAACGATTTTCGCTGCTCAGCATCCTCATATTTCACGGTCAGATTGATGTTTTGATGAAATCCATTAGACACAATGCTTTACCCATTGCGCCATAAATTTTCTTATAGTCTGTTCATCAAAGAGGAATTCTGTGGGCTTGGAAGACTTCTACACTTCTAGGCTTCCAACCTAGAGACGATAAATGTGTTCACTCACTATCCATGTTCTGATCCACTGTTGATGAAAATTGGTCAACGTTTTTTTTCTGGGGGTATGGTAGTCACCTATTGGAACACCGTCGCCGTAGGAACAGGGAATCTGTATAAGATCATACGCCTTCCAACTAATCCCACCCTTCAACAGAAGACAACGACGACCATGAACAAGACTTTGGCATATCAAGTAACTAATATAAGTAAGGGCATAGATTGAAACGAGCAGTAGTAACCTTGTAAGAAGAAATGTCACCTCAGTTGAAGAAAAAAGAAATGGTTCAGTAAAGCAGTAATTCATTTAACACATGCCCTACAGTGTCTACAGTATCGACCACGGAGTTTCCCAAGTTTTCTCAAAGGTTAATAGCTGAGCAATAAGTGCTTCAACCAGAGGTTTACTTCTACGAATTCATTCAAGGTAGAGTACTGCTTATAGACATTCCCAATGAACAAACCGCAAGCAACCACATACTACAGAAGTCAGGGCTTTGAAAATACGGGAAATTCGTTGTATTTCCTCAAGGGTGACTTTGGGTAAACGGACGGCAGAATCTCTGAGAATGAATAGAAATTCTAGTAGAATATATGGAAAGTAAGCAATAATGATAACTAAAGAAATGGGAATTACGCTACAAGCGCTCCCACTGAGGTCTGGGCGGAACAACAATGAGAGAAACGCCGTCGATTTCGTTTGTTGTAGTGAGTTACGTGAAGACCAAAATACTGACAGTTCCAAGCGCTTGCTCAATGATCACCTATGCGACAACGTAAACTGGTTTTCCACGTGCGCCCCTCCTCAGCCTAATTTTACCCAATGTGCAATAAAAAACGGAGACGATTTATGGCAACGAAAAACCTGGCCTGTCTTTTCGAAAACATTCCTTGGGGAATTAGGTCATCTTACCCAACACGGAGCGTCGTTATCTGAATTTACTCGGGATAGATTCCGCGACTGCCTAAATACCCTAATAACTCCATTAGTGACGCTTAGGAATATGCGATAACCTTGAAAACCAGATACCTCAGAGATGCAGATACTTTCTGCTCAGCCTGATGTAAGGAACGATATAACCGTCACCCTACCATCATTTTTATGGCAAATAGACCATCAGATCGAACAAATTCAGTCCAGGCCAAGGTTGAAATTGCCGGTTAACTATTCGGAACTATGCCTGCTCACGAAGGATGATAGCAAAGTAATAAATGTCAGCTTCTTTTGAAAAAAGCTAGATGACGCCCTGCTGCCCGATGAATCAGAAGGGACATAGAGCGTGTGCCGTCACCAGAGAAATGATACTTTTTTGAAGAAAAAAGTGGAACAGTGGAATTCAAAACTCCAGCTTGACAAGTTGAAAATTGAGTGAATATCAAATAGTGAAAGTTAATTTACCAATACAAATTTACAAAACAAAGAGGCAATTGGCGTATTGACAGTTCCAGAGAGAGCAATGGCCCTTTGGAATGCAAATGAGGAGAGAGGAATACTAAACAGTATATTTTGGTTCGCTCTATCTGTACTGAGCGATATCTCCCTCGAGAGGGGGACCGTTTGGGACAAACCGTCGACCGCGTTGACAGCTGAACAGCCCGGCGTTCCCTTGTGGAGAAACACAAAGCACGTCATCCCATCGAATGGGCCATGATTCAGAAAAATGCAGTGGTTCTGCACTTTCGTTAGCACTGGAGAGTCTGGCACCAATTGGAGGCTGTAGAAGACCGCAATGATCTGTAGAGTCCAGCCTGAGTCTGATAGGAGGCAGCTTGACCTAGTCAGCTCGTTAACAAGCTACCAGGTTCCAGAAAAGAAGGTTGGCTTGATGTCTCAGTCCTCAACGGCTTTGATCAGTTGAGGACTGAGTCTGCTGCCGCTGTAATACCCTTCTGAAGAGGATTTTTATTGGTTTTGAATCATCCGACATCACAAGATGTTAACTAGAGCTCGGTATTTTATTATACTTATTTGAAGGCTTTCCCAAAGTGTTATCATCATAGAGCTGATCATTTCAGAGCTATTCGATGTTTTTTTTATCAAAGCCACATAGCACTAAAGTGTCCCATAAGCTCTGCAAACAATTATTCATCTTCCTTTCACTCAAAATGTCAAATTCGCTGCTCTAGAGGGGTCCCGCTACAGTTGGAATTGGGCTGCTTCACCTACAAGACATCATTAGCACTGGAAAAAGCTATGGATAGGAATTTAGCACGAAGGCTTTGCTGCCACACCTTAGACCCTACAATCAGACCTTAGGACCCCCACGCATTTCGGGGCTGGGGAAATCTAATTTATCTACGACCTTCAAACTCGAGGCAAGCTAATCAACAAGGAATCTATGAGAAAAAATATATACAAGTCGTAGAACAAGTGGATTTCATTTTCCGGGGGTTCTTCACCTATCCTGCAGACTACTATAGACCCTATGGTTTAACCTGGGCACACTAGCTCACATGAATATGAAAAACTGCTTATGACGGGTACTACACCTGTGGTAGTGCATTGAAGATATTTATTCTGCATATATATGTGTTGTATTCGTCTTTCCGAGTTTAACCTGCGCCCTTCAACCCGATTGTGAGAACATGGGTTTATCAAGAAGAATTACTTGAGAATAGGATGATGAGAGTGAGTGGGCGATTCTAGATGAACAGGAGTTGGATTTATAGTTGATCATTACAAAGCAAACAACAGAAGCTCAAATTCTCCCTATTTCTTCTACTTATGTTTTTCCATTACTTCAGTGGAAAGGAAAGACGTGACTCAGAGTTTGGACCCTCTACAGCAATTTATAACCATGGAAAGGTTAGTGAACTTCAGCGGGTTCGAATTCCATCTTCCACTGGATGCTGTTGAACTTCAAAGATTCAATTCGACCGTGAAGGCCAAGTAAGAGTGAAAGCATCAGCGACACAAAGGAACTCCCAAAGAGGTAGCGTAGGATGAACACGTGGATTGGTTTTCAAAAACTATCTGGAAGAGGACCGTTATTGCTGTTAGTACATCCATTCCATGATATTATACATATTTCAAGGAGAACTCTTGGAATGTGCCCATTCTTGGATGCGCCATGCATTCAGCTGTAGCTGGAAACACTTTACAGTGTATGACGAGCTTTGAAGGATTTGAGTGGAAACCGATGCACAAGTCGGTCGTGCCTTCAACTTTAAGAGATTACAGTGCAACCAAATGCTCTTACATAACAAACTTGATTTCAATAAATAAACAAACAAATAAATAAACTCGCAAGATAAACAGTAAGTCCATAAGTAAATAAACAAGTTTGTTGGTTTCTTAGTTAATAGGTTTTTCTCTTAGACCAGTTTTCTTCGGCACAGGGAAGCAATATCAGGCTTTCAGGATCCAATCCTCAATTCGAGCATTGAAATGCCGTTTGTCGTTGACAAAGCTTCTTAAGCATTTGTGATTCGCAACTACTCAAAAAAGGCGTTGAAAGGCTGACAACGATGAATTGAGGGCAACCAATCAGTATAGAATAAAGAAATTCGGAGAACTAGAAAAGCTATGAAGATGGAAAAAAGGATTGTGTAGGATTGATCCAAGGGGAGGTCGTCGGCTGAGGAAAATCAGCTGACTGAAGCCATTCGATAGTTGAGCGAAGGAAGGGATGTCGGAAGGAAACCGGACGCATCACGACAGCACACATGCAAACAGTATAATCCGTTTGGTGCCCTCATGGATGGACTGGAAAAAGGCGTGGGAATCATTAAAAACATCACAAAGTCAATGACTATTTCCTCCGCCGAGTATGAAACACTTTTCTTTGACTGATAAACCGATTCGGTGGGAGGGCAAGGGCGACACAGCTCGACTTATAAGCCCATTGATCGAAGCAACCCCTGAAACAACGAAAGAGAAGTCAGTGGCACTTTTATCGTTAACATCGGCGCTCTGGTGAAACGCATAGTCGAACTATGGGAGCCAACCCACACCCAGCAGCTCCCATTACCTTTTACCCTCGACTGGGATCGGTTTGGCTTGAAGTTTTGAGTCGAAAACGAATTGGAAAGATATGATCGGAACTTTCCACTCTGTTTACCAAGCAGGATGAAACCAAACAAAAAGTTCTGGTGGCGACTGTTCTATGCTTAGACGCATGGGCAGTGTCCTGACATACGAGCCCGAAGGATATAACTTGACAGATACCTTCCGCACAATCTAATATTCCCATGAAATTGAGGGAAACTTGTGTATCTATGGATTACTGTGGGTGTAGGGCAGTAAGCTACCGTTTCAGAATAGGTTATAAGTTCCATGGCAATATACCAGCACTGAATTCGATCTAACCTCCCAACATAGCTCCTCAAAAGACGATATAACTCGTATCAACTATTAACATCAATTATCACTTATTATTACCATTTCGTATCTATTAGAACAAAGAGGATTACTTCGACATTTCATTTAGAACAAAGCCCACGGAAGCCTAGAAACTTTTGGGAAGTAGGCTAGTAATCCAACATCATAGCCAAGAAACACGAACGCTGTGAATTATTAAAATTACTTATTTATTGATGCATTTATTTACTTCACAACCAGTACACGTATAATCGTTTAGCTGAGCAAATAAATTTGGGTCAAAATCCGA